GCAGCCCGACGCAGGTTATAGTCAAATCGATGCGTTTCAACAAGGCACTACGCACTTTTTCTTTTTTTGTAACACAAACGTTTTCTACGTAAACGTTGACAGTTTTTGCCCACTAGATGCTAAACCGTTCACCTCAAAAGAAATCTGAGGTAGCTGAGGTCAAGAAAGAGTTTTAACCCTAGCCAAACTTATGGGTTTTCTGCATACGCTCCGGCCGAGGGGAAGGTTATAACCTTCGACCTACGACCCCCTCGCCGTTACGCCCCTTCTTGAGCCTCAGCTTCGCAGAAAAAAAACGAACGTGCGCGCCGTTACGAGAAGCAGCGATTAGTACCTGATTTTGAAGTATCAGGTCAACCGGTGACCTCCGAGGTCAGGTCAAGTGCCCCAAGGTACCTACGGGTTCAGTTTCTGGTGAATAACTTAGACGAGGAAGGTCACAGAGACGCGTTTTTTTGGCACCATTGTGCCCGCAATGCTTGGCGCGCCGAATAAAATACTTTTGGTCTGGGCAAGGTCAGCAGGGTCAGGTCATAGCTTCTCAGGTCACAGGGTTGGCCGAAGGTCATATTGGATATCATTCGATTCGGCATGTCCTCCTGAGGTCACTGGCGGCTTTCCTGACTTCGTAGCTCAATTCGATCGGGATTTATCGACGAAAACTACGATGCCCTAGGTGACGTTATTATGTAAATGTCGACAAGCATGGTCGTCAAAGCCAAAGTTGGAAATCGAACATTGCAAGGAGTGCATGAATTCACGATTCTGTGTACTTGAGGCAGAATCAGACAATTACCGGCGCCAAGATTAAAGATTTTACCAAATCACTTGTTCCACATCATTGACTTCTAACGGTAGGTCACATGAGAAGTCTGACTCCAGGCAATAGGCATGACCCTAAACAAATCCGAGATATGCGAGTTGTGAGACTTCGGAAGATTACTTATGTCCTACACCGGGTGGCCCAGAAAAAAAGTTCCCAACTTTAAATCAATATTTCTCAGAAAGTGATAAAGATACAACATTGAAACTTCGAATAGTCAATGCGGCACACATTTTCAGTAAATGGTGTGATTTTCATGGTGTTCGGTAAATTACTTTGTAAACGGTTCGTGTTTCAAGCATGCCATGTAAAAATTACTTTTTTGCTCCGATGTTTACTCAAAAATGTGAGTGAACAGGTCACTTTCACCCCTCGGCACCACGGCCTAGAGCCATGGCTGCTACTGGCAGCTAGTCTCATTGATGGTTCGGGTCTCAGGATGACACATTCCATCAGGCAACCACGATGGCTCTGTGCCAGTGGCATCGGAAGAAGTTTCCAGTTTTCTAACCATCTTGTGGCTCAAATGCTTTCCTGGCTGACATTCCTGGGAAAAGGTAGCTTTTCAACCAGTTTTCTTTTTTGTCATCTGCTGGCAATGTTGTTTTTCATAAAATGTTATGTGGTCTTCTGGCACAGGAACTAGTCTGTTTTAGTTTGTTTTCCTTATCCGGTCGATTTACTGTTTGATCTACTGAAAGGAGGGTAATCAGCAGTAATCCATGCACCGTGCCACGAATCATGATTTGATGTTAAAACGAATGGCATCCATGAGCACCATTTTGGCTCAGTATTTGAATATTTGGCACATAAGTGAGACACAAATATTTAAAATAAGAACATACGTGTTGGTTTCATTCACATGCTCTATTTTTCTATTCTATTTTATAACATGGGGCGTCTAACTCAATCATCACTATCGTTTGACATCGGCAAAAAAAGCAAAAACGTCTTGCTTAATTCAACTCAAGATTGCCAACTTGAAAATGATGGTATAGTGTTGTAATTTAGCATACCAATGCGCAAGGAAATGACGCAAACTTGCTGAAAATTTTGTCTCGTTATTTGCACTCAAATTTGATATATAGGCCTCCAAAGTTCGGAACGTTTTTTCTGGGCCACCCGGTATATGCGTTTCGTCTCCCTGCAAAAGCTTCTCTTGCAATGAGGGCGTTGCGAAGTTGCGACATTTTAAGACCGTGCAGAGGTTCACTTAACCTTCGCCCTGGTGGGGGGGGGGCCATTTTGGCCCCCCCCTGTGGTTTTTCAGCGATAACTCAGAAACCACTTGAGTTAGCGCCCTGAAACTTTGTATAGCTGTTTATTCAACATTTTTACATCATGTCCTTTTTTTGGGGGTTCGGGTCAGGTCAGGTCAGGTCACAAGGTCACCAAAACTGACACCACCTCTAAAAAAGTTCAAAGCTCTCTCAAAGGCACAGCTTTTATCCGATCGATGTAAAATTTACAGTACTTGAAGATGTCACCCAGCTCTACAAAATGGCTATCTCGGATTTTTTATAAATGTGACCTAAGGTCAGGTCAGGTCATCGCTGCTCCCCATTATAAGTCAATGGGAGAATCGAAAAGTAGTTGTTTTTCAGCTAAATCGGGCGTGATTGTTCCTATATTTCGTTATTGAAGTGTCTTGGGTCAGCAAATCACAGCCCATGTGAAACCATTTGCTTGTGACCTCGCTGAGGTCACGCTAGGTCATCTCCCTGGTCACCAGAGGTCACCAGCGGTTTTTCTGCACTTACTTGTTATTGAATAGAGATAGAGACTCCGTTCGACGTTTATCGTGTTTGTCTCGTCAATGCGGATCGAATGATATGCAGCATGACCTATTTCGGTAAGGTCATGACCTTGACCTGAGGTCAAATTTTCAAAATGACCTTTCGAGGTCAAACTATATATCATTCGACGCGTCTCGACGAGCCAAGCACGATGGTGCATGAATCGTTTCTCTATTTTCTCGTGAATGCATGCTATAGTTAAAAACATTTTCAACGAAATTTGCCAAGTTGACCTTGCATGACCTCTGTAGGCCAAACCGTTGAGCTGAGGTCAAATCTGACGAACCTTGGCGAAAGAGCTTGAAAAGAGCTATCGATTGCTTTTTTCCGCGGCTCTCTAGCTCTTCTAGTTTCCGAGCTACAGCGGAATATGTCCGGCAACACCGAAAACACTGAAATTTGACCTATGATGACCTCTAGCGACCTCAATATTGACCTTAGCGAAAAAATGACCGAAATACTTTCGAACGTACTTGTTATGGGCTTTCGTTTGCTTTTTTCCGCGTCTTCCTAGCCCTCTTCGTTTTCGAGTTAGACGGGGGGGGTCATTTTGGCCCCCCCCCACCAGGGCGAAGGTGGCTCAGACCCACACCAGGGCGCGGGTTAAGACGTCATAGGTCGGTGACCTGACCTGACCTGAAAACGTAGTTGGTCTCGCACGATTCGGTTTTAATAAACGATTAGATGTGTAAGCTTTCAGCTCTCTATCGCTAGCGTGTTCTGAGCAATCGCAAAAAAAAAACGACAGGAATGAAACGTTAATGGGTAAAACGCTCCAAAGTCCACAAGACGCCAAGTTCGACGTCTTTTTACCCTTGGAGCCTAAGCCATTGACCTTAGGTAAAATATTAACTAGCGCCGTGTCGGTGGTCTTAATTTCCCTTAGAGTACTGGGGGGCATCTAACACTGCTCCTCGGCCACGCAGAGACACGCGGCAGGCAGTGTTAGAAAGAGTGTCAAAAATAAAAGTATTTTTGTAATTTTAAGTCAGGTCAAAGGTCCTGGGTCAACACTTGCGACACAAAATAAATGCGACACAAAATAAATGCATCACTTTTGCCTTTTACCACTTGTCGCTAAATGAGCCAAGAGCGAATTATAGAGAGCGTCGTAACCTCCCCTTCCCATTTCCTCCGCCACCAACAAGACGTGTTGAGAATTATTCCCCTCGGACTACCGTCCTGGTGCAGGTTAATCTGCTGAGGAATTCACCATTCAGACGTTATTATACGGTCCAGATGAAACTTCCATGAGCGAAGATCATCAAACCGTGTATCCGACTATTTGCACGGTTGCGTTATCCGTGGGAATATGACATCGGTAAATCACAATCACGTGTTGATAACAGTTCACCGAGCAGTGAGCGGCCATCCGTGTAACCGTCAGTAGGTTAGTAGTCGGGAGATATATTAGATGGATGGTGATGATCTCATGGCCGACTGGCAGCCTTGATCAAGAAACAATCAGGGAATTCTTTCTCACACTATTGCGGTATCTGGCCACACCTATGCATTATGTCTTGGTTCCGGCGGTTAGTAACACGTCCCCACCCGTCATTAGGGGCAGAACACCTTCAAGGGGGGCACTACCGACTTTTGGTCTCATTCTTTCCATGCAGCGCCCATAGGGCTAATGTTAAAATGCCCAAATCAAAGGGGGGGGCACGGTACCCCGGTGCCCTCCCCGTTCCGCCGCCCATGGTCCCCGTCCGAGAGTGCCGTCAGAATCCGTTTCTATGTCCTGTCCCTCCTGTCCCATAATACCGTATGCCTACACATGTCCGTCCAGCGGTCTATCAGACATAACCACCTGTTCAATCCAGCAGCATGCCATGCATAACAGTTATCAAATGAGTGTCCTTTCCTGCCCTGTTCGACATAGCCCAGTCCTGTACTGTTCTGTCCGAAGCAGTACCCACCTGTATCATGCCATGTCCGGTGCAGCACCGGCACCCACCCGTCTTGAGCGAGCCTTTATCTATATCCTGTCCTTTCACTGCCCTGTGCCGTGCCGTACCCATCTTTGTCCCTGTCCTGTCCTGTCCTGTCCTGTCCTGTCCCGTGCCGTATCCACCTGTGCGGGCGCCAGCGCCCTGTCCTGCCCGGTGCAGTATGCACCAAACTGTCTCAGCCCTGTCCTGTCCGGCGAATGCCGTACCCACCTGTGTGTGGTCCCAGTATCCTAGCCTGACTAGGGTCCTGTCCTGTCCTACCCGGCGTCGTACCCACTACCCACCTGTGACCCTCCTCTGCCCTCTCCTGGTATGCCCTGTCCGGTAAAGCAACCACATGCGCCCTTATCCTCTCCTTCCCCTGCCCTGTGCGGTGGAGTACCCACCTTAGTCGGGACCCAGCACCTCGTCATGTCCCCCAGCACCCACCTGAGTCGGGTCCGAGCGGCACCAGGTCCGGCTCGTCGCCCGGTGGCGCGGCGCCCTCGCCCGCGCCCTCGGAGCTTAGCGGGCTGCCGGCCGTCAGAGAGCGCACCTTGCGCTGGTGCGAGAAGCTCTTCAGGTGGTACTCGATGGAGCTGCGCCGGCGCGGGTCGACCGGCTTGTCGCAGAACTGGCAGAGCAGCAGTTCGCCGCTGCTGCGGAACAGCTCCGTGCCGTACTCGAGCACGCGGTCCTCGGCCGTCTTGTTGGAGAGGTGGCTGCGGCCGCGCGGGTCGGCCGTGTCGGCCGCCACTGTGCGGCGCCGCGCGCGACGTCGGCGACGCGTCGGCACCGTCACCACCTGGTAGGCCGGCCGGTTGTTGTGCAGGATGGGCACCACCTCCATGGGCGGCGCAGCGGCGGCGGCGGCGGCGCGGCGGACGGGGGCGGCGCCGCCGGGGGACGGGGAGGGGGCCGAGGTCAGGCGCGGCGCCCGGCGGATGGGCGGACCGAGCGGCGGAGAGCGGCTGCTCGGAGCTGGCTGGGAGCAGCCCGCGGCGGCGGCCCACTGCCGACCGGGTCAGCGCAGGGACGGGAGGCGGCCAGTGACGCCCCCGCCGGCGCTGAGAACCCCGCCGTCCGCTCCGGCAGTCCACACACGCCCCGCCGCGTCTGGCGGAGTAGCGCTGCTGATCAGCAGGTCACGCACGATACCGGTCAACGAGGTCACTTCCGGGTCAGCCGCGTGACCCGGTCACTCCGACACCCCGCCACTGACCGCTCGCACTCACTGTCCGCGCCGGGGGCGGTCGCCGCGCGCGGCGCTGCGGCGTCACAGAGCGGGGCCGCTCAATACGCGGTGCCGGCAGCGTGTGCCCGCTGCACGCCCCCTCGGCGGTGACCGGACGCCGTGCTCGCGGCGCGCTGGCGCGCTGCAGACGGCGGCGGCGGCGGCCGGCGCTCGCGCTGCCCGCTCGCGACTGTCGGCCGCCAGCATTCCGCGGCGGCGCCCGCTGCAGCCGGCCAGCCACGCAGCGGCCGCCGCGGCGCCGCGGCGCGCGCGCGCGCTTTATCGACTCGGCGGCGGCGGCGCGGCGCGCGGCCGGTCACGTGGTACGCCGCCGCACGAGACGCGCCGTTCGCGCCAAGGCCGCGCCTGGCCGGCCAGCAGCGCGCCGATCGATGCGTGTCGCCTCGCGGCACGGCCGGCGCCGCCTGGGAGGGGGCGGCGCCGGCCGGGGCGGGGCGGCGGGCGGCAGGAGGGGGCCCGGCAACTCGGCGCCGCCGCCGCCGGCCAACACGGGGCGGTCTCGCGGCGCGGCGCGGGGCCGACCTCGGCCCATCGGCGGCCGCGGCCCGCTCCACCGCTGCAGCAGCGGCGCGGCTGGCGACTAGCTGAGTCCTCCGTCCTGTGTCCGCCATATCGCTGCCCGGTGCGGTGGCTAGTACGGCTCCGATTGTCGGGCAGAGGGTTCGGCCGCAACAGCCGCAGCCCATGACTCGACCGACTGGTCAACCGACTGTGCGTATGACCGAACGGAAGACAGACCCGACCCGCAGATAGGCCGACCGATAGACCGACCGACCGACCGACCAGCCAACAGACCAGCCGACCAGTCATGAGCCAACCAACAGACTAAACGACTAACTACATAATAATCGACAGGCAAACCTACTGTCCGGTCGACTGACCGATCGTATGACCGACCGAACGACAGACTGACCATTGACCGAGGAGCAGACCGACCGACCGACCGACCGACCGACCGACCAGCCAACAGACCAGTCGACCAGCCATGAGCCAACCGACCAACTGTCCGACCAACCAACAGACTAACCGACCAACTAATAACCGACCGACCAACCGGCAGACCAACCCACCAAACGATAGGTCCACCAACCAGTTAATCGACCGACCAAACGACCGACAGACTTAACTACCGTCTACCAACCAGCCAGAAGACTCATGACTCATTGGAGAACAAACACTACGTGAGTTCATCGCTTCTTACTGAGGACGAAAGATACTGGAGTGCATCTACCAGAGGTCCTGACGCCTCTGACCCGGTGACCGTGACAGTCGGTTTCGACATGCATAGTCAGATCGCGACATGACTCCAGTCAATCGTGAGTCCATCTGCGGAACGGCTTTAACCCACCTGCCCATTCTGTTCTGCAATTTTGTCTGCAGTCACATTGACACGACCTTCGTCCACCCTCTGTACTTACCAGCGGGCAGCTCAAACAAATTTCGATCACTCATGTATGAAAGTCGCAAGTCCTGTGTCGGAACTTCAGACCTTAAATCGCCATTGTTTTTAGAGATTAACCCGCGCCCCGTAGGGGGGGGGCCGAAACGGCCCCCCCCCCCTGTCCTTTTCGGTCGATATCTCCTAAACGGCTGGAGATATCGCCACCAAACTTTCAGGACCCCTCCGGGCATCAATTTTACACATTGTGACCAAAAATTTTCCAGAGGCTATGATAGGTTGGCCAAAAATGACGTCAGAGTGACGTCATGTTCTGTCATTTTCGACCGAAAAAAGACCTTCGCGAGAAGACCTGTCAGGACTACAGCTTTGAAGATACAGAAAAATGATCAAGACATAAAATGTGTAGAATTGACAGGGCTACAAAACTGCTATCTCGAATTTTTGAAATTTTTGAGTTTTGACCCCCAAAAATCAAAAAAGCATTTTTTTGGATATATTCGCCAAAAAATCAAAAAGGTTTTTGAGTTTCGAAAAAACCGGAATATATGTGATAGTGCCTACCGTCTTCTATCTACATACCAAATTTCAGATCGATACCTCGTTTTTTGGCCAAGTTATAGCGAAAAAACTGTTCACAAATGATGACGTCAAATTTTCAAACTCAATTTTTGGCAATTCTAGAACTCGTAGAGCAAAACGAAGACCACCATTAGACTCCCCGTGACGAGCCGCATCGAATCGATACCCATTTTATGCAAAAATATCAACTTTGAAATTTGACCTAATTTGACCTGACCTTGACCTGACCTTCACAAAAACGTGACCTAGGCTGGCCCCAAAGGCTGCCTAACCCACATAATCGCATTTGTCATGTAAAATGGACCATAAAACATGTATCACACGACACATTCATATTGTGACCCCCAGTGACCTGACCTCGCTGTGACCTGACCTGGTATCAGTGACCTCAGATAGCAAAGTATGTGTTTGACGAACAATTTACCATCGATGGTTTTCAATAAATTACCAATTTACTCGCTTTCACAGCACATTTCTTGAATTGCCTGTGAACGGTGAAAATCTGACCTTTGACCTGACCTGTGACGTCATCGGTTTGACCTAGGTCAATGAAATTTGGTCACAAGGTAGTTCCCGGGTGGGGCTATCGAACGCCGTTTGAATTTTGAAAATCGGCCGGTAACTTTCCGAGATCTTAGGGGGGGGCCGAAACGGCCCCCCCCCCCCCTACGGGTGGTAGGGTCCGCCGGTAGCCCTACGGGGCGCGGGTTAAGGCACATTTTCAAAACTTGCTTGCATGAACCGACCGAACTGACCCTCGTACAGCTGTCCAATTCAGTATTCTAATCAGGAGCAACTCAGTGTATGATTCTGGCTCAACAGAGGTCTCATGATTTCTTTCCGTTTATGAGACAAGTTGATTAACTTCTCGCACGGATACGGGATATAAAACGTTCATTTTCTTCTTGCGTTGGCCGTGTTCCCACTGCTGTATCTGGCTACATATGATATAGTAGCACGCATTGAATGATCTTATCTTTATTATGGATCTTATGATCCAGCGATGGGTGTTGGTGGAAGAACTTTGCCGACTTTGACAGAGCACTGACGAGTCACGACATCCTGAGAAGTGAAAGTCAATTTATGTGCCCGGAGAGTGAACACAAGAGCATCGAAGTATCTTTGGATGGGTAAAAACAAAGATTATTTATATTTAGAGCACCACTGCCTCCCTAGCAATCCTGCAATCCCGCCAGATGGACTGCCGTCCTCGGTCGCTGCAGCATCGTCCATACTTCTTATCGGTATTCTACTATCCTGTCACGCAGGCCTGACGCTCCGTTCCGTCAAACGTCAAAGAACATGACCTTTTATTTCCCTAAATATCGGCATGCCGACGCATTCATGTGTAGGCATGGCGACAAAAAGATGTTACGGAAGCAATAGATTAGGAGTATCGCGCGAGGAACTCATGCGAGATAGGCATGTGTGTTGTATCCGTGCATCGAATCGGAGCTGAATTACCCGTACCGGCGCGATTCCCCATAACAATTGAGATATACAATAGAGAATAACAATAGAGAGCTGAAACTTGGCACACCTGACCTTTCATTCAAACCGAATCTTGTGACACCAGCCGCATTTTCAGGTCAGTATACGTCATAAGTGAACCTCTGCACGGTCCTAGAATGTTGCAACTTCGCAGCGCCCTCAGTGCCAGAGGAGCCTTCACAGGGGATGAAACTTACAGGACCTAATTTTTCCCTGACTCCAGAGGTCTCATAACTTGTATATCTCGGATTTTCCTATCGGTCAAATGAGGTCAGGTCGGTCACGTGACCTCACCATTATAAGTCAATGGGGGAAACATGAAAGCTGTTATTATGGCGCCGGGAACGATCTAAACCTAGTTCAAGCACATGGAATCGTGGTTTCATGCACTCCTTGCACGGTCCACTGCTTCAGTTTTGCATCGTTTACCCTGCATCGTGACGTCATTCATGACGTCATTGGGGTCATATAAATTTTTGGTCAAATTGAGCCAGCGAGTCACGAAAGCCACCAATGGACTTCGTGAGACCTGTCGAATCGAGTGATATGCGGCATGATCTGCCATGCCCAGCTTCGTGACCTGGGTGGCTCTGACCTGACCTTCACCCGAGGTTAACACCTCGGATCAAAATAACACCTCTGGTTAAGATATTCTCACCCGAACAACAAGCATACCATTCGACGCGCCTGAGCAAGACAAACAAGATGGTGTCAAATTTGCGGCTCTGCGACCATTTTTGCGACGGTATTGACCAAAACCTGACCAGTGCCTTGGGGCACTTAACCTGACCTCAGAGGTCACCGGTTGACTTGAGACCTTAAAATAAGGCACCAGTCGCTGCACCTCATAACGGCGCACGCGCTCGTTTTTCCCGAGGCTCTAGCTGAATTAGGGGCAAAACGGCGAGGGACCTACTAGTACGGCTCGGCGGGGGGGGGGGGGGGTATACAGAAAACCAATAGGTCAGGCGAATGTTAGTGCTTTTTGGCAGTTAGCAACGCACCATCATGTGAAATGCCGTTTGTTCCATGGATAAGAGTGGGTGTCAACTGTCAAGGTCATTTAAGGTAAAAATAAGGTCATTTTATTATGTCATTGCCCATGGTGACCTACGCTGACGTTTTTTGTTTCACGACTTTACTGGGCTACTTATCTAGCTGATTTCGAATTGGTCATTCGTTTGAGCATAAAAAACTAGTTTTCCAGACCATGCGAAGTTTTCTGTGGTGGCTAACACCTAAAACACAAATAGTCGGCGGGATACCTGATGGTTGACCTGACTTGACCTCCTCCTCGACCACTCTAGCACAATAGCACAAATGCATCAAATTATTGAGCGAAAGGATTGAATACATAATTAAGAAACAGGACCACAAATTATTCCAGAAAAACTCACTTCATGAAGTGCGCAGGACCCCACTCTCCCGACATTTGAAATATTGACATGACCTGGAAGGTTAACCATGAATCATGATCGTAAGTGAAATATCATGGTCGGGCCTCCAACGTCAAAACACAGAGCATTCGACGCGTCGCAAAGAGAGAAACACGATAGATAGGTACTGGTAAAATCGATGTCACGCAAGCTTTATGTCAAAAGTTATTGCTGACGTTAGTGAACCCGCGCCCCGTAGGGGGGGCCGAAACGCCCCCCCCCCCTGTCCTTTTCCGTCGATATCTTCTAAACGGCTGGAGATA